GTGGACAGTGAGAGAGAGAGACAGAGAGAAAGGTCTTCCTTTTTGCCGTTGGTTCACCCTCCAATGGCTGCCGCGGCCGGCGCACCACGCTGATCCGATGGCAGGAGCCAGGAGCCAGGTGCTTTTCCTGGTCTCCCATGGGGTGCAGGGCCCAAGCACCTGGGCCATCCTCCACTGCACTCCCTGGCCACAGCAGAGAGCTGGCCTGGAAGAGGGGCAACCGGGACAGAATCCGGCGCCCCGACCGGGACTAGAACCCGGTGTGCCGGCGCCGCTAGGCGGAGGATTAGCCTAGTGAGCCGCGACGCCGGCGCACTGCTCTTTCCATCCTGCGGTACGTTTGAGAATCTCGGTATTACAACATAAAAACGGGCGACACCGAGAGCAGCAGTGAATCGCCGGCCCCCGGGCCGCTGCAGCGGGTGAGGAACAGAGCGCAGAAGCAAACAAACCCACGGCACAAATGCACCAGCAGCACCTGGAGCCGCTGGCTGCACCTCGGATCAGGGCCCGTCCTTGGCAAGCCTCAGCTCCCTCCGCGAGACAGGGAGAGCGCTTGTTGTGTGGTGGATGCACAGCGAGTCCCGGGAGCCCTGAGTGCCCGGGCAGCCTTTGGCCAAGCAGGTAGGACGCAGCGCCCTGGGGCCGGCACCGCGCGCGGCACGGCAGGTTAAGCTGCCTCTTGTGGCACCGGCATCCCGCAGTGGAGTGCGGTTCAAGCCCCGGACACTCTGCTTTCCACCCAGCTCCCTGCTGATGCGCCTGGGAAAGCAGCAGGTGCCCAAGTACCTGGGCCCTGGCCACCCACGTGGGAGACCAGGATGGAGCGCCTGGCTCCTGGCTCTGGCCTGGCCCAGCTCTGGCCGTTGCAGCCATTTGGGGAGTGAGCCAGCAGATGAAGAATCTGTCTCTCCACCTTTCAAATGAATAAATAAAACTTAAAAAAAAAAAGATACCCACGTCACACATCAGATTTCCTGATTCCTCCTAATGCCAACTCTAGGAAGCAGTGGTGACGGCTCAAAGAGTCGTGCCCCTGCCACCCACCTGGGAGATCCGGCCTGTGTGTTCCCAACTCCCGGCTCTGACCTCAACACAGGCCTGCACAGTGCAGGCATTTGGGGAGTGAACCAGAGGGAGGGAGCTCTCTTCCTGCCCGTCTCTGTGTCTCGCAAGTAAACATATTTTAATTAAAAAAAAAAAAAAAACACCCTGTTTATTGTGGCTGCTGTCACTCAATGCAGAGGAGCCCCTTGGAGGCCTGAGAGCCAGAGCCGCACTCAGGGTTCGATGCTGCTATGTGGTGCCCTCATAGGGTGGCCAGATACAGTGCGCGGTGCTGTCATAGGGTGGCCGGCAACGGGCAGGTCCCAGGCTCCCAGTCTCGGTTTCTGAAGCCAGGCCTGGCCTTTTTCAGTTTAAACGGAGGCTGGGGAGTTCCCACTGGGGAAATACCGCATCTAAGCCAATGCCACAGACGTCCTGCGTCTCCAGGCACAAAGCAGGGCCGGCCCCTCCATGGCCACAGATGGCCTTTGTGGGCGGCCACGGCCAGGCAGGACAGGCATGCAGCCCGTCCCCACTGGGGGTAAACAATGGGTGGCACCTGTAATTTCTCCCTGGGACGGGCACAGTCTGTGGGCAGCTGACTTAGGTCAGAATCTGCCCACCGAGCGCGGCCGGGGTGACGCCGTGACCGACTCGCATCTGTGAAAGGGTGCGGTGGCAGGCTGTGTGGTCACCAAGGGCTTTCAAGACCCCAGAAGTCTAGGGGCCCACTATCATGATGGCCTCCACATTAGGGGCGCTGGGGGCCCGGCACCTTCTCAACCTCAGGAGAGCCCCAGGGAAAGATGAAACTCAGTGTCACACTGAGGACCACACCTGCCTTTATTTGAGAGGCAGAGTTACAGACAGAGAGAGGGAGAGACAGAGAGAGGTCTTCCATCCACTGGCTCACTCCCCAAATGGCCGCAACGGCTGGAGCTGCACCGATCCAAAGCCAGGAGCCAGGAGCTTCTTCCAGGTCTCCCATGTGGGTGCAGGGGCCCAAGGATTTGGGCCATCTTCTACTGCTTTCCCAGGCCACAGCAGGGAGCTGGATTGGAAGTGGAGCAGCTAGGACTCGAACCGGAGCCTGTATGGGAGGCCGGTACTGCAGGTGGTGGCTTTATCCACTACATCACAGTGCTGGCCCCTAATTCTGTCTTCATTGTGTTAACCACAAGTGGCCTCTGGCCGCCCTTCAGGGACAGCAGACAGCAGGACAATGGCGTGTGTTGGGGGGACAGAGGGTGCTGCACTGGGTCCCAGTGTTTCCCTGGCCGCCGCCCACCAAGGTCCCGTTCGATTGTCACTGGTTCAGAGACAGGCAGCACCCCAGGCATGTTGTGGCTTCATTGCGAAATCGGGGGAATTTGTGGTGAAATCTGAGCCTCTCTCTCCGTCTCAGAGTCTGTGCCCCCCCTGCAGCCCTGCGGGAGGGACAGCGCTGTCTCCTCCCCAGCCCCCCACAGAGGGGAGCAATCCGCAGGGACAGAAATGCAGACAGAATCCTGGTCCCACCTCCCAGGGCGCCTCCCCACAGCACCGACGCCGTGGAGGCCCAACCCCCTGGGGGGCTTTGCCCAGGATCCTCCAACCCCTCCGGGACAAGGTCTGGGGCTGGGGTCCCTCAGCGGCTGCGCCTCCAGGAGGAGAGCTGGAGCCGGGTCCCCCTGGGCCAGAGCAGACAGGGAACGGCCCTGCGAGCAGGGCAGGTGCTGGCCGGGATGCCAGAGCCCTGGGCAGCCTGGGAAGCCTCTGCCTTCCTCTCCCCCCATGCAGGTGGGGCGCCCAGGCTGTCAGCCCCTTCAAGTCGGGAGCTGGGTCTCCCTGGCCGAGGCCTCCAGACCTTGGCATCCGGTTTAGGGGGAAATGGCATTGTATTGGTTTCCTGTGGCTGCAAACCACACGGAGTGTGTGTGTGTGTGTGTGCTGTGAACCACAGGGAGTTACTCCCGCCCAGGTCTGGGGCTGCGCTCCCTCTGCGGGCTTCTTCCTGCCTGGCCCCGGGCGCTGCCCCTGGACCCATCTCTGCCCCGGTGGACGCCACCTCTCTACAGTCTCTGGGATTCTCCATCTCCTTGGACTGCGGGCGGATCCTGACTGCGTACCTGGACCACACCCACAGAGACCCTAGCTCCAGGTGAGGGCACCTTCCCAGGGGCCAGGGGGACGTGGACGTCCGGGCCAAGCTGTTCAGTCCAGAACGGACATTAACTAGCAAACAGCAGTGCCAGGAAGGCGGCCGGGAGCTGCGGGGGCGGCCCGGCCAGCGCCGAGGTGACCTTCGCTGCCAGCTCGCACGGACGAGGAGACCGAGGCTCGGCGGGCTGGCGGAGCGGCCAAGGTCACGGGGCTGGGCGAGCTGGAAGCGGACTCCACAGCCAGGTGGTGCCAGACCCGGCAGAGGCGCTCACCGTCCGGGGGGAGGCAGAAGCGGCCGCCCCCGCTGACTGCGCGCTGCCTGGGCCGCGGCCACTTTCCTGGTCACCCGGGAGAAGGGAGGGTCCCGGGGGGAGGAGCGTCTTCAGAGATCGATCAGCCATGATCAGTCTGCACCGGAGGAGGCCGCCCTGACCTTGGCCCGGCCCGAGGGCGCCGGGGGGCGCGGGGACGGGGCGCGGGTGGGTGGCAGCACGCTCGCCCCTCCCCCGGCGCGGCTGTCCCCCCTCCCCCCCAGGCGCACAGCCTTCCCCTCGGCCGCCGTCCGCGGCGCGCGCCCCGCAGCAGGCGGAAGGCTGCACGGCCGGCCGGTCAGCGCCGAAGGCTACGACGGAGCAGACCCCGGCCCGCGCCCGCCGGGCCCAGCGCCCTCAGGCGGCTCCCGAGCCGAGCCAGGGGCGTCCGGGCGCCGCCGCCGGGCCTGCTCCGTGCCGCCGGGCCTCTGTGAGCTCAGCGCCCGCTCACAGGCCCCCGAGGCCGCGGTGGTCACCCGAGCCTCCCCGGGGAGGCGCCCGCGGCTCAGAGAGGCCGCGGGACTTGCCCAAGGTCACACAGCGCGGCGGGGGCCGGGCCGGGCCCGGGATGCGGGGGCCGGGGCCCGCTCCGGCGGCTCCTCGGAGACGGCCGCTCCCGCCCCGCGGCGGCGCCCGGGACGCGGAGCCAGGCAGGCCGGCCGGCCGAGCGCCCGGCTTCCATGTCAAAAACAACGCTCCACGCACATCTGCGGGAACAAAAGCGGCCCGAAATCCACCCCGGGTTTTGCGCCTCGCCGGCCCGCGCCGACCAATCGCGTCCCGCCGGCCGCCGAGGGGCGGGAGGGGGCGGCCCCAACGTGATCGACAGCCCCCCGCGGGGGCGTGGCCGCGGCGCGAGCGAATCGCCTCGGCCAGCCGGCACCATCCCGGGCCGAGGACGGGCGGCCCGGGCCAATCAGCGGCGGGGGCGGGCCCGGCCGGCCCGGGCTGTCGCGAGAGGCCGCCACCCCGCCCACTCGTGCTGGTCCCGGCCTCCCGTCACCGCGAGCGCGGCGATCCCTCCGCTCCTCGGACGGCGCCGGCGGCCGCGCTCGGGGCCCGGATCCGTCCGCGCGCGCGCGGCCAGCGTCGAGCGGCAGGCCGAGGGCGAGTCCCGGCGGATCCCTCCGCGCCGCCGCGCCGCCGCGTGTCCCTCCACGGCCGCTCCCGGCGCCCCTGAGGCGGCCGCTCCCGGCGCTCCTGAGGCGGCCCGCGGCTAACGGCCGGCCTGGGCGGCGGCATGGCCGGGGCGGCTCCGTCGGGGGGCGGCCCGCAGTGACAGACCCTGCGGCGCGGGGGGAGATGGGGGCGGCCGCCTCCCGGGCGACGACGACGACGACGACGACGAGCGGCAGCCGCCGCCGCCGCCGCGCACCGGCCGCCGCTGGGGACGGGCGCGGCGAAGGCGCCTCCTCGTGAGCGGGGGCCCCGAGGCCGCTCGCCGCCCCCGGCCGCCCCGCGCGCGCCCGGCCGCCCGCGGCCCCTGGCGGGCGGCGCCCACGCGGCCTCGCCGCCGCCGGGCCCCGGCGCGCCCGCCGGCCGCCCCCGCGCGGCCCCCGGGCCCCGGCGCGGCGCGGGCGGCAGCATGGTGGAGAAGCGCTGCCCGCTGCAGAGGGACGGCGTGTACCGCTGGTTCTCGGAGCTGCCGTCGCCGCAGCGCGTGGAGTTCCTGTGCGGCCTGCTGGACCTGTGCATCCCGCTCGAGCTGCGCTTCCTGGGCTCGTGCCTCGAGGACCTGGCGCGCAAGGACTACCACTCGCTGCGGGACTCGGAGATCAAGGCCAACAACCCGGCCGACCTGGGCAGCCTCACCAACCTGACGGACGAGGTGGTGCGCAGCAAGCTGCTGGTGTCGCTGGCGCTGCTGGGCTCGGAGCAGCGCGAGGCGGCGGGCGTGCTGTACCGCACGCTCACGCACATCGACTCCATCATCCACAACTACGGGCTGCAGCTCAACGAGGGCCGCACGGGCGATGAGTTCCTGCTGCTCTTCACCATGGCCTCCAACCACCCGGCCTTCAGCTTCCACCAGAAGCAGGTGCTGCGCCAGGAGCTCACGCAGATCCAGAGCAGCCTGAGCGGCGGCGGCGGCGGCGGCAAGAGCGCGCCCGCCTGCCCGGCCTGCCACAAGGTGCGTGCGCGCCGGCCTCGCGGCCGGGCCCCGGGGCCGGGCGGGCGCGCGCGCGCCGGCCTCGCTCCCGCCTTCTCCCGGTCCGGGAAGGGACGGAGTGCGGGCGCCGGAACCGGGGCGGGGGCCGGGCCCGCGGGAGCGCTGCGTGCGGTGAAGGCGGTGCACGCGTGTGCGGGAGTGCTGCGTGTGATGAAGCTGTGTGCGCTGTGTGACGAAGGTGTGCGCACACACGTGCGCTGTGTGACGAAGGTGTGCACACATACGTGTGCTGTGCTGTGAAGGTGCGTACACACGTGTGCTGTGAAGGTGCGCACACACGTGTGCTGTGTGACGAAGGTGTGCACATGTGTGTGCGTGAGCGTGCTGTGTGGTGAAGGCGTGAGCATGTGCACGTGTGTGTGAGCGAGTGATGTCAGAGCCAGGCTGCTGTGGGCACAAATGGCGTTCAAGCCCTGGGGTCGGCGGCCGGGCCGGCCCGAGGAAGCCGGAAGGGCCCGCGGGCTCCGTGTGGAAACGTGAACTTTGAGTGTTGCACAACTGTGTCAACACCGAGGGCTTGGGGTCAGCCTCTCCCCAGCGCCCGGGAGCCCAGCACGGGAATGGTCTGTGTGAGGCTGGCTCGTGGGCTCGTGGGGACGTGGGGACGCGGGGACGCTGTCGGCACGCGAGAGCCCCGGCTGGAGTGGCGTGGTGTGGCGCTGCCTGGGCCGCGGCGTGGAGCCTGCGTGGGTTTCTCACGGGTGTCTCTGGGTGACGTGGCCCAGGACTGCGGTTTTCTCTTCATTCAGTTGAGTTCCTTCTAGATTCCATCTTGTGTGATGGCAGAGACACGTTCCTCTGCAAACAGGAGCCGGGTCCTGGGAGCGGAGCTGCTGTTAGGAGCAGTGGGCGCGCGGCCCTGGGTCGGTCCCGCGTGCCAGGGCTCCATCCCCAGCAGAAGTGTCACGTGGAGGAGGCTTTGGTGAGGCGCAGGGGCTGCTCAGTCTCTGGCCCCATGCCCTTGGGGGCCGCGGGCAGCACGGTCTCCAGCGGTGTGACCTTGGGGGGGTGCGGTGCCCCTACTCTGAGGGCTGGGAGGGCGCAAGCAGAGCGTCCCGCTGGCACGCAGCCGAGCCGGCTTCCCCCGGTGGCCACGCTGGCTTCCACGTCTGTTTTATGCAGTGTTTATGTCGTGGCCGTGAGATTAATTTTGGAGTGTTGACTTGAGGCTGCCAGGTTTTTGGTTTGTCTTTGGAAAATGTGGAGAGCCTCGTTTGTGGGCGCCCTGCTCGGTTCAGTGGAACTTCCTGCCTTTGCTGCCTTCAGGCGAAGGCTTGACGGCTGGGCCGGCGACTCGGGCGCGCTGCCCCTGCAGAGCTGCCTCCTGCACACCTGCGCCTCTGAGCGCAGGGACTTCGTGTTTCTGTGTTGAAGATGTCCGTGACTTTAAAAGTTTTCGCTATTTAAAATTTTTTTTTATTTATAGCTTTGTGAAATAGTTATCATTTGCAGTTGCTTCTCCAAACCCTGTTTTTCCGCTGTTGTTTAATTAGAAAGAGAGAGAGTGCGAGCGAGCGAGCGAGCGAATGCACACTTCCTCCCGCTGGGTCGCTCCCCAGATGGCTGCCGTGGTGAAGCCGGGGCCACGAGCTTGATCCCTGTCTCCACGTGGGTGGCACAGACCTGGGTGGCCCAAGGTCCACATCCGTAGGAAGCGGGAGTCGGAGCCAGTCGGGCACCTGCGCCAGGCTCCGGTGTGTGGGCAGCGGGTGTGTTCACTGCTAAGCTAAGTGCCCAGTCCTGTTCTCGTTTTAAAATTCTTACTGCTCTAAGACCTTGAGTCTCGGGACGGGAAGTGAGGAGTGAAGCGGGCATTTTACTTGGAGGAGGGGCTGTCCACGGTGGCAAGGGTGGCGAGTGCTGCGTGTCGGCTGCTGGGCACAGGCGATGCTGTGGGCTGGCGGCTGTGCCGGGGGCTGTCCCGTCGGCAGGCTGTGGTGTGTGCACGTGAGTCGTCTTTGTCTACTGAGGCTTCACGGAGCTGCAGCTCCCGAGCTGTGCAGGGCACCCTTCTCCAAGGCTGTGCACCTGCTGCTGACGTCTGACTCAGCGTGCTCGTCACCACGAGAGACGCCCCCTCCGCGGCTGCCGGCCGCGAGCGCCCTGCGACCCCTCGGCCGCCCCCTTGTCCCGGGGTTTGCCTTTTCTGGACGTTGCCGCAGATGGCACCTGTGTAGCCGCTCAGAACCATGGTCCCAGCGCTCCTCGGGGCAGCGTGTGTGAACCTGAATCTTCTTCGTGGCTGAGTAATGCTCCATCACATGCGCAGACCCTGGGCTGTTTATCCATCCGTCAGTGGGTGGACAGCTGGGTTTCAAATGCATCTGCTTCATTGTCACTATGCTTGTCCCCGGGGACCTCCTAGCCGCGTGCGCACAGCCCTGCAGACTGGGGGTCTCGGGGCCGTGGGGCTTGGTCACACAGGTACACGTGGCTGACCTCTGGGTCTCAGCACCCACCCCGCCCATGTGGGTGGTGGCAGAAGCGCTGCTCGGGGCTGGCCTTTGCTCTGGGTGAGGCTGGGGTGTGCAGGGCAGGGTGGAGGTGGGTGTCTTCCTCTGGTGCGTGTCCTGTGCTGCAGCTCTGCGGTCACCTGCTGTGTCTACACGCGGCTGCCTGGAGTGGGCGCTGGGGAGACTTGGGGTCCACACTGAACTGAGAATGAGTCTGTTGGTGCTTTCTGTAAGTGTGCAAAGTCGCCACGATTCAGGAGCCCAGACGTCGGCCCCGGGGTGGTGGTGTCGGGGTGAGTGGCTTTGCCTTCCACACACTGACCCTAACCTGGCATGCCCCATGGCAGAACTGGTCTGGAGTGGCTCCTGCTGTCTCCCAGGGCCCTGCCGCCTGTCCTCATGTGTGGTTCCCACGCCACGCATGTCTGTGTGTGAAGGGCAGGACTCACAGGCTTGGGGATGTGGGTGCGGCCAGAGTTGCTCTTTGGCCTGTGTCTGCTGGGCAGTGGCTTGGCCTGTGCGGCTCTGCCTTCCTCCTGCCCTTTGCCCTCTAAACCAAGGCTGTCCGCTTCCACCTGGGCCAGCTCACGTGTGTCTCATTCAACTCGCTGGGCATTGGTGTTCCTGTGTTACCTTCTCTTGCGGGGTGCAGTGTGGCAGTTGGCCAACCCACGGCGGATGAGCACCGCCGTCCCCCGGGTGCTGCTGTGTCTGAGCGCGTGCTGACCTGGGCCTCCTGTGAGTTGTGCTCTCCTTGTCCTCTGCCCTTCGGCCATCTTCTTTTTTGATTAAGGCAATGTTGGGATTAATGCATATTTTTCCAACAAATTTGTGTACGAATCTCCAGGCTGTCGTGTGCATCTGTGGGACTGGTGACTGCCGACCTCGGAGACTGACAGGATTGACAGAGGATTGGTTTTGCCGGGGAGCAGTGATGGCCACTGCAGGCCTCTTCCCCAGCAGAAATGGAGCCGGGACAGGCCTTTCCTCACTGTGGGTGAGAACAGACGGAAGGTCGTGAGCTGGTTTGTTGAAGGGTTTCTGACTGTGCACTTTAACCTCGACATAGGCAGTTTAGAAATCTAGTTTTAGCCGGCGCCGTGGCTCACTAGGCTAATCCTCCCCTTGCGGCGCCGGCACAGCGGGTTCTAGTCCCGGTCGGGGCACCTGATTCTGTCCCAGTTGCCCCTCTTCCAGGCCAGCTCCCTGCTTGGGCCCTGCACCCCATAGGAGACCAGGATAAGCACCTGGCTGCTGCCTTCGGATAGGCGCGGTGCGCTGGCCGTGGCGGCCACTGGAGGGTGAACCAACAGCAAAAGAAAGACCTTTCTCTCTGTCTCTGTCTCTCACTGTCCACTCTGCCTGTCAAAAAAAAAGTATAGTTTTGACTCAGTACTTTCCCCCTCCAGCCTCTAAGTTTTTTTTTTTTTCTTTTTTCTTTTTGACAGGCATAGTGGACAGTGAGAGAGAGAGAGAGAAAGGTTTTCCTTTTGCCATTGGTTCACCCTCCAATGGCCACCGCGGCTGGCGCGCTGCAGCCGGCGCACCGCGCTGATCCGATGGCAGGAGCCAGGTGCTTCTCCTGGTCTCCCATGGGGTGCAGGGCCCAAGCACTTGGGCCATCCTCCACTGCACTCCCTGGCCACAGCAGAGAGCTGGCCTGGAAGAGGGGCAACTGGGACAGAATCAGGCGCCCCGACCGGGACTAGAACCCGGTGTGCCGGCGCCGCAAGGCCGAGGATTAGCCTAGTGAGCCGTGGCGCCGGCCCACTCTCTAAGTTTTTAAAAGTGTTTATCTAAAAGGCGGATACAATCAGTCTTCCCTCAGCTGGTCTGCTCCCAAAAGGGCTGCATGGGCCGGGCTGGAGCCAGGATCAGGAACTAGGTCTTCCCTTGTTGACAGGGACTCAAGGACTTGGGCCGTCACCTGCTGCCTGCCAATGTGTGCGTTTGCAGGATGCTGTGTTGGAAGTGGGGGAGCTGGAGCTCAGGCTGCCACTGCATTATGGGATGCAGGTGTCCTGAGCGGCAGCTTGGCCCTGTGCACCCCAGCGCCTGCTCCTGCTGATGTTCAGGCTGCCGACAGCCCCGACACGCCGTGGAAACGTTCCTGTCACACGCAGGGAGAGAGGGCCAAGAGGCAGGACCATAGCTCTCTGTTTTGCTTTGGGTTAAAGGGCCTGAAGTTCCTTAAAGCGAATAGAAACTAAAATGGTTTTCAGACGATTGAAATTGTGACAGCCAGTGCACGGTCACAGGCCTGCCTGGAAGGTGAGAGCGTTGCCAGGACGGGAGCCACACTTGACACTGGCAAGCTGGCCCGGCGGCTTTCTGGGCGTACTCGCCGGACGCTTTGCAGATTCATAGAGGAATCCCAGCCCTGAACGCGGCTGCCTAGACCTGCCGCCACGGTCAGTCTCTGCCGCCCCTCTCTGTGTTGTGCCCTCTGCTTCAGTCTCTCTGGTTCCCCAGGGTCGCCGTGGGGTCTGGTGTCTGGACTCTGCTGTTTCCTGTCTCCCCCCTCCTCCCACCAGTCTGTGACTGCCACTCTTTTTCCATTCGGTCCATAACCATGTTCGTGGTTCTCGGGTTGTAACAAAATCGTTCCTCTGCCGAGGTGCCCCTCTGTCAGCCACTTGTCTCCCCGCCTGTGCACCACCAGGTGTCCAGAACCGAGAGAGCCCCAGGCAGGCGCGTGGGGGTGCGGGAGGCTGCAGTGTGGCAGGGCTGAACGTTCTCTAGCTCCGCAGCCTCCTGCAGCCTGTCTTTGCCTCTGCGCCTCCAGCTTCTTTGATTAAAGCAATATATTTTTTTTAAGATTTATTTTATTTATTTGAAAGATAGAGTTACAAACAGAGGTAGGTCCAGAAAGAGTGGTCTTCCATCCGCTGGTTCACTCCGCAGGTGACCACAATGACCAGAGCTGAGCCGATCCGAAGCCAGGAGCTTCCTCCAGGTCTCCCACGTGGGTGCAGGGGCCCAAGGACCTGGGCCATCCTCTGCTGCTTTCCCAGGCCACAGCAGGGAGCTGGATTGGAAGAGCAGCAGCTGGGACTTGAACCGGCGCCCATATGGGATGCCGGCGCTGCAGGCTGGGACTTTAACCCGCTGCGCCACAGCGCCATCCCCTAAAGCAATCTTGATTAAAGGAAATTCAGTAATTTCTTAAGCTATGAGATTTGTAACATAATATCAGAAAAAGTGAAAAAGGCTGTTGGAGGGGAAGTCCGCCTCCCTGTGGGCAGGCCGGGCGCCAGGGCATTCCTTTCCCTGGGTGTCAGTAACTTACTTCGCACCTAACAAGCACTGGGCGCAGTGGTTACGATACTGCTTAGAACAGCTCCATCCTGTATGGGAGGGCCTGGGCCCAGGCCCACCTCTGCCTCTGAGGCCAGCTTCCTGCCGTGCGCACCCTGGGGGCTGCAGTGCTGGGGTCTCAGGCCACCCCTGGGAGACCTGGACTGGGTTCCTGGCCCAGCGTCAGCCCAGCTGTTGAGGATTTTTGGGATGTGAACCAGAGGATGGACTCTCTCTCTCTGTCTCTGTTGTTTTCCTTCAAATAAATAAAAATAAACAGAGATGTTCATATTCTACTTTCCCAGCCATCCAGTCCCTCCTTTGCGGATAACAGTTCTTTGTGGGACCTTCCAGGGGGCCTGTGGCTGGGTTTACAAGCAGGCAACAGGGTGCTTCCCCAGGGGGCCGGCTTCTCTTGGTGTCCTCGGCAGGCTCAGTGAGGGTTTGAGTCGGTCCAGAAGGAGCTTCCTGGCTGTATTCTTGGTGACACGTCCTGTCCTGTCAGAATGTGTCACTTCATCTGTCCCTACTGAGGGACCTTTTGTCTCCATCTTACTGGTACAGACACTGTGCTTACATACTGCATACGCATGAGCTACGTGTCACAGCCAACAGACGGAGCCTGTCATTCTGTGTCCCCTGAGTGTATCCAGAACAGATCCGGGTGTGCGGTTGGGTGAGATGGCCTGGCTTTGGGGATTCTTTTACACATTGCCTAGATCTGCCTTTTAAAATCCCCACGGCGGTGTGCTGTGCCTGTGCCTGTTGGCCGTACGTCTGTAGCGCGGGTTGTTGCCGCTCAGCTGGGGAGGAGCCTGCGGGCTGTGAGGATGAGCACCGGAGTGAGCCGTTGACGTGGGCAAGTCCTTGTCTCCTCTGCTGCTCTCTGCCTTTTGACAGAAGCTCTGCAAGTTTCAAAAAGTGTCGTTAGTAGGAGTGGGAAGTGTTTGCTTTCCATTTAAAAAAGACTAACTTTTTCACAGATGTGTGTATTTGAGAGGTAGAGCTGGATCCGTCTGCTGCTCTGCGTCACAGCGCCTGCGGGGCTGGGCCGGGCCGGAGCTGGAGCGTGGTCTGGGTCTCCAGCACGCACGGCGGACGTCAGCTGCTTGAGCCATCCTTGCTCCCTCACAGCGTCCTGGTTAGCAGGAGCGCAGCAGGGTGGAGCCCAGGCGTGCTGATACAGGACGTGGGTGTCCTAAGTGGTGTCTCATTGCTGGCCAAGTGCCCGCTTCTACAGTCCTGCATTTTCCTGATTGTGTGCATCAGTCTTTTGTGTGACTGCTACATTTTGTGTCGTAATTAGAAAGCCATCGTGCATGGTAGCTATACTGCATGGTGCACACCGTGTGTGTGGCTGTGTCCGTCCGTGTGCAGACTGCGCAGTGTACTGTAGAGACGCTGCCTGCTTTGCCTTCTGTACATGTTACACGTATGGATGCGTCGTGTCTGTGTGCACACAGATGTGGTATAGTCTGTACATGTTACACATGTGAGTGTGTCACATATACTCATGAGGTGTACCTTGTACATGTTACACATGTGAATGTGTGCTCATGGGTGTGGTGTACATTGCATTTTACATGTATGAATGCAGGTATGTGCTCACAGATGTGGTGTGCTGTCATCTTACATGTCTGAACGCGTTGTGTCCACTTGCACACAGCTGTGGTGTGTGTTGTAGACACTCCCCTGCAGTGCTGTTTGCCTTGCTACGCGACAGGGACCCATCTGGAGCGTGCTTGTGTGGGGTGAGGGCTTCTCTGTTCCGTGTGACAGTCCCGGTGTCCCGTGCTCTGTCCTTCCAGCTGTGCCGCTCTGGGTTTGACCTCCCTTCATCCGTGCCCTTCCAGCTGTGCCGCTCTGGGTTTGACCTCACTTCATCCGTGCCCTTCCAGCTGTGCTGCTCTGGGTTTGACCTCACTTCATCCGTGCCTTGTTGGGTGACTCACTGGGTGCTCTCAGTCCTTGCGCTCTGCAGGAAAGGCTCTAGGGGAGGGCTTTTTGTTTGTTGTTTGTTTTTTAACAAATGTAGCTGCCAGGACACCTACCCTGGATGGTGGCTGGGGAGATGCTGTGTGGCTGCTGTGGCTGCGAATTCTCCAGCACTGTAGCTTCTCTCCGGTTCTTGGTTTTCCAGTTTGCATCTGCATTCCTGCACTTTATATCATGATGTCTCTCAGACTTCGCCTCTCTCTCTCTCTCTCTCTCTGTGTTTTTCTTTCTTTTTTTTTTTTTTAAATAAGGATTTATTTATTTGAAAGGCAGAGTTGCAGAGTGAGTGAGATCTTCCATCTGCTGGTTCACTCCCTAACTGGCTGCAACAGCTAGAGCAAAGCAGGTTGGAAACCAGGCACTTCCTCCAGGTCTCCCACATGGTGCAGGGGCCCAAGCACCTGGGCCACCTTCCACTGCTTTCCAGGTGCATTAGCAGGGAGCTGGGTTGGAAGTAGAGCAGCCGGGACTCAAACCCACACCCATATGGGATGCTGGCACTGCAGGGGTTAGCTTTACCTGCCACACCATGGTGCCAGCTCTTCCTCCCTCTCTCTCTGTCTCTTCTTTTTGGTAACATTTTCAACTGCGGTCTGTCAGTCTCCCTGCCCATGTAGACGTCGAGCTCCAGGTGAGGCTTCCAGGTAGTGCTGGCTTCGCATGTGTGTGAGCGTGCTTCTCCGCTGCCTGACCTGTCTGGTCTCGGTCCCCTGCCCCCTGCGCAAGCCAGGAACCCAAGCCTCTCAGGTGCGTCATCTCCCCTTGGGTAGCGTGTCCTCGATAGCCACAGGCCAGTGTTCTCTTGGGGGCCCACCCTCTCTCTTCCTCCCTCTTTGTCTGCTTCCCCCCGTCCAGCCCTCTTGCTGCCCCTTTGCCTCTCCCTCCCTCACTTGGTGTGATGGGCCCATGTGTGGCAGGCACACTGAGACTGGGCGGTTTTCCAGGGAGCCAGAGCATAGATTAGGATAGTCTGTGAGACACACATGACCTAGCTTAGCAAACCACACTTCCTCTCAGAACCTTCCATGCTGGAGTGCACGTGGGGGGCGGGGCAGTGCTGTGGTGTAGCGGGTAAAGCTGCCGTCTGCAGTGCCGGCATCCCAGATAGGTGCCGGTTCAAGTCCTGGCTGCTCCACTTCCAATCCAGTGCTCTGCTGTGGCCTGGGAAAGTGGTAGAGGA